AGAGAGAAGGGATGGTGTGACAAATCGTGTTGTGTCAATATAAAAAGGTTCGTTCACTTGGGATTCTCTGTTTGCTTCTTTGTGAGTTTTCTGGAAGTGAAAACGGGCTATTGACTGAAAGTTTGACTGTGTAATTTTATTTTGGCTTGGATTGCGGGAAAATTTATAAGTTGGATCAAGCAAAAATACATAATTGCACCATTTAGAAAAATAATATTCCATGAGAAGTACTCAGCACAAGAAATTCAAAAAATGCTAGAATTTCAAATATGTAAAATTCCAGTTAAAATAAACAGTTGATAAAAAGTAAATTTATAATTAGTTTTAAATAAAAAAAAGGAAGTTATAAAATAGAAATTAAAAACATTCAAATTTAAAACAAATTAAAACTGTCTTCCGTTATGTTCAAACATGAATGCAAAAGACAAATAAGATAAATATCTTTTAATAAACACAAAAGGAAAAAAGAAAAGAAAGGTCACCACCTTCACAAGAATCTCAGAGGCCAGAAAAAAAAATGATCATTTGATTATATATACATACATAAAATTAAATTAGCTAAAAAGCAAACCAAAATATTTGATATTGGGAGCCAGTAACAGCAAAACAACAATATAAAATATGCCAAGCACACATGAAAATAGCTTTCTATTAACAATTTAATATTAACATCTTATATTTTATATCTATCTTATGTTTTATATTAAATATATGAGATAGTGAATGTCATAAAAACAAAAAATCACTATTACAATATTAGTACAAAAAATTGGGACATGTTTAGCTAAATCATTCACAAAATAAAGTTCTGGCTCTTCAAATCTCTCAAATGCTTTTTCAAATTATGCATCTGTTTTTAGCATCAAATAGGTAGAAATGCACCTTGTAAACACATACGAGCTCAAATATTTCTTGGACTCTATCTCATCCTAGTCAATACAATCTTTGAATTTTTAATTATCGCGAAAGAATTTCTAATATATCTAACTGCTTATCTCAAACACTTTATTGAAGGTTTGATATCCTTTAAACCTTGGATAACCACTAATTTAATTACATGTGCTATTTACCTCATTTGAAGGTAACCCCTCCCCACATTCAAGATTCTCTTTTTGAAGAAAGCAATCGCTGGATCATTTCAACATGCATTATCTAGAGTATTATAAAAGTATTCTTTAGTCCTCATTAAAAAAAGGCAAAATTGCATATTAATACACCACCTTTCATGTTTTTGCAATTTAATCACCACTTTTACAATTTTGCAAATTAATCACCACCTTTACTATTTTTTGCAAATCGATACATGGATGACGGTTCCGTTAAAAAAATCTAACGGAAACCTGACATGGCATTGACGTGGCTCAATGCCATGTCAGATTTTCGTTAACGGAACCGTCATCCATGTATCGATTTGCAAAAAATAGTAAAGGTGGTGATTAATTTGCAAAATTGTAAAAGTGGTGATTAAATTGCAAAAACATGAAAGGTGGTGTATTAATATGCAATTTTGCCTTAAAAAAACACAAGTTTCTATCATTTTCCTAATATATACACCGATGTGGCTAGTTATCTGAACAAAGTTTGGGGTTTTCTTATGCAAATTCTACTCATTGTCAATGAAGTGGGATGTGATGCACATGTAGTTAATTTTTTTAAGAAGTCCAATTTTTAAAATTAATTCTTCGACAGTTATTTTTTATGAAAGACTTCAACTTCATCCTCTCATCCACATAAAAGCTTAAAACAATCTCTTAACATAGTCCATCTAGAATAATATCTTAAACCGATGATTTCTTCTATTTATTTTCGCTATCCGCAAGTGTATGTCGTAGCTATAGCAAGCGTCGAGAAATGTCGTGTTCCATAGAGATTATTGTTAAAAATATAAATAACAAAATAGAGATGATTAGACTATTGCAAATTCGGATTAAGTGTTAGTTATATACTAACAAATAACTATAAACTAATTCTATATAAAAATAACTTAATAAAAGCTTGTCATAAACTACAAATAAATCAAGTTTAGAAAATAAATTTTATTATTTGAAACGTCGGTATTTTACGAGAGTACACTTAACGTTGTTAGAACATAAATAAACAACTAGAATAGCGGAAGCAATAAACCGAAGATTTTAAAAACTCTCAGGGAAGCGTCCCACTTCCCCTCAGAGCTCTTTCATTGATAACTCGATTGTACACATGCGTATAGTTTTGGAATTACAGCAACTAGAACTCCCTTCTAGCCTAACCAACAACTATACTCGAATCTACCAACTACTTCTCCGGCCACGTCCCGTGGACTTTAAATAACACTTAATACCTAAGTGCTGATCACAATAATGTTTGAAAAACAAAGAAAAGAAAACAAAACGACTTCAGTTCTTCGATATGTAAGAACACCGAAAACTGAATTGAGAACTAAAATAAAAGAAGACTTGAAGCTCGAATAGTATGTGAATAATAATGATCTCAGCAGCCTTCATTCAATCTTCAAGTAGGGTATATATACAATTGCTTAGGCTTGGAGTCTTCTCCAAGTTCTTTCCTTCTTTCACGATCTCCTTTGATCTTCTTCCCAAAAATAGTGTAGTAACATGGAGAGTAAATCTTCCTTGATTGTATGTGATTTGGAGATCTTCAGAATTGAGTTTCCAATGGAAATCTCGTGGTTCCAGACTCGTGTAAGAACACAACTTTCCTAAAATAGTCGATCTTCCAAATCTTCAAAGATCTTGTGGTGAATCTTTCCAAATCCTCCTTAGATCTTCTAGATAACGTCCAGAATTCCTTATGCACGAATTGCTCATCCTTTCATAGTCCTTGCCACCTATTCCTTGTTCTACAAGATAGAGAAAACTAATTATGGCATAGAATCAAGCTCACTAATGCATGTGACATATATGGTAAGTAAATACATAAGATATATATTATGTAATCCTTCTCCTAAAGGTTTAGGATTCCATAATACATATTATAATAAATATATAACATATATTATTAATAATAAATAATAGGAACTTAATTAATTAACAAGTAAATAAATAGAAAACTTCGCTTTTTTTTTATTTTGCTTGTCTAACAAGAAAATCTTCTAGAAAACACTTAGGTTTTTCGGATGATGCCAAACCAATATTCTTACCTTATTTATTATACCAATAGTAGGTAGAGTGGTAGACATATCAAAAGGGGCCTGCGGGGTGGGCTCGCCCATCAAAACTCGGCATTGGCGGGGTAGCCCGACCCGGCCCACCATCCTGGTGAGTCTTCAAAATGCCAGCCCGGCGTCATCTTCGAGTAAAAGAATTGAAAGATGTGAGGATTTTTATAGTGAGTGGTCATTTTCGGGTTAGAACAAGTGTGGGAACCCTTGCATAATGGGGTCATTTCAGGTAAAAGCATTAAGAGACGTGAGGGTCTTTGCAGTGAGTGGTCACATTCGAGTCAGAACATGGAGAAGCGTGAAAAACTTTATAAAGAGTAGTCATTTCAGGTCAAAACATTGAGAGACGTGAGGGTCTTTGCAGTGAGTGGTCATTTTGAGGTAAAAATATGGAGAAGTGTGAAAATCTTTGCACAGTCAGTTATTTCGAGTCAAAACATTGAGCAGCGCGAGGGTCTTTGCAGTGAGTGATCATTTTTTGGTCAGAACATGGAGAAACGTGGGAACTTTTGTAGAAATTAGTCATTTTGAGTTATAGCATTGAGAGACGAGAGGGTCATTACAGTGAGTGGTCATTTTAGGGTCTTAACATAGAGAAGTATGAGAACTTTTGCGGAGATTGGTCATTTTGGGTCAAAACATCGAGAGACGCAAGGTCTTTGTACTGAGTGGTCATTTTTAGTTCAGAAATATGGAGAGGTATGAGAATCTTTGCAGAGAGTAGTCATTTCAGGTCAAAACATCGAGAGACGTGAGTCTTTGCAGTGAGTGATCATTTTTTAGCCATAACATGGAGAAGTGTGAGAAACTTTGCAGAAAGTGGTCATTTTGGGTCAAAACATTGAGAGATGTGAGGGTCTTTGCGATGAGTGGACATTTTTGGGTCAGAACATGGAGAAGTGTGAGAAACTTTGCAGAGAGTAGTCATTTCGGGTGAAAACATCGAGAGACATGTGGGTCTTTGCAGTGAGTGGTCATTTTCGAGTAAAAAATGTGAGAACTTTACATAGAGTGGCCAGTTTGGGTTAAAACATCGAGAGACGTGAGAATCTTTGCAGTGAGTGGTCATTTCTAAGTCAGAAATATGGAAAGATGTGAGAACTTTTATAGAGAGTGGTCATTTTGGGTCAAAAACATTAAGAGACATGCGAGTCTTTGTAGTGAGTGGTCATTTTCATATAAAAAAAACATGGAGAGAGGTGAGAACATTTGCAAAGAGGGATTATTTTCGGATCAAAGCATTGAGAGATAAGAATTATTCACTTTGAAAGAAGATATGGTATTGTAGTGACTACATCCCAATATTTTCATTCTATACACTAAACTTTTATTATATCTAATTTCTCGTAAGAATGTCTATGTTCATCTTCTTATCACCACGATTAAGATATTTTTTGCGTCTACTTTATATGAAAATTTCTCATGACCCAATTTTTGCGGTATACCAATTATCTGTCGATTTTGATCCCGCGTAGAAGAAGATTTCAACGAATGAAAAATTTAGCTTTGGGAGGTTCGTAACAAGAGATCTATGCAAGCACGACTTCAACAATCGAGAAAGCAGCCAAGAGACTTCAAGCATGTATAAAAGCAATAGAAGATATCATAGAGTGGTGCTTCAAATGAAGATACAATGAGTATTAAACTCTTATTATATTTTTCAGTTATCTAATTTATTATTTATATTAGTTATGGCTAATTATTTGTAACAAATTATAGATGCTCAGAGCAAAAATATTGTTCGCATAAGATTTCAAATTCAAATTCGAATAAAAATACGATCACTTTTGAGATTTATTAAAAACTTTGAAAATTTATAGATGGCGTTATGAGGAGCAGGAAAAAACAATCTAGTCATTATTCCTCTTCGAAGTCAGAAAATTCGACACCTGAGTATGCTCGACAAGCATCCCCAAGCATTTCTTCATTTTCTATAAACTTAGATGACTTAGATCAATTTTTTGGTGGTTCGCTATCTGAAAGACCTATTAGAGTGAACAAAGTCAAAATAAAAAGAAAAATAAAGAAAAGAAAAATAAATGACAATTCAAGTTTAAATGAGATTTGCATCTCGGTTGGAGACAGTTCAGCACTAACTGAAATCAAGTTTTAATGGTTCAACCAGAAAGAAAATTAATACTGATTAAAATAGGTGGAAAAAAAAAAGTTCATCCAATCCTATTGTTTTTAGGTTAAACGGAGAGAACTTATGGAATCTCACCATTTTACCGTGCATCACACGGTCTACATACCAATACTAAAAAAAATAATCACCCTGTTGGAAATGCTAGAAAAAAATTATCACCCTGTGGGAAATGCGAGAATAGCTTTTACTTTCCATAAGAGCATGGACATAAAATTGCAGCACTTGACAAATTACTGAAACTGTTTTGTGCTACAAATAAAAATCTGATAATATATACAAGAAAAATTACGGGACAGATCAAATTGTCCCCTACAAAAGATGTTAGCAATTAGCATAGTAGAAAACTTAATGATTTAACGTACCATTTCGCATCCAAAATTTATTTTTCCAACCGAATACTAAGAAACTCGTCTTCTAAACAATAACACAACTGAGTTGATCGACCATCACATCCTTTTTCCCAAAAAGTAAAAGAACCAATGAAATCTTCAGCCATAAGGAAACCTCCAATGTATATGGCATGCCATCAGGTTTAGCTAATCGATAAAATTCACTTTCTTCATATCACCACATCAAAAAAGAAAAAAAGACATCTACTTGCTGGCTGAGATGCCAGAACCTCATACTTGATCGACGAAATTATGATCTCTTCCACATCCCGAAAATTCCATTTGCAAAAGACTTCAGATTTTCCCACATAGAGGTTTGTTCTTTACGTTCTGCAACCTCGTTTGGCGCTTTGTGCGCCTCCCTACAATGAGAGAAAGATACGGGATAACATTATGGACAATAATAACGATACAACTATGTAAAGGAAAAGTATTAAAATTAAAAAAATAATTTAAATTACCTTTCAGATACTTCTTGTAACTCCTGAAGCTCAGTTTTGGACTGCGACCAATCAAATTTGTGTTCATCTTCATGTACAGTCTTGCCATTTTCAGGGTCAAGGTGCTGTTTGATTGTTGGTTGATCAATTGGGTTGGGAGATTGAATTCCAACATCTTTCGATTCATCATTCTTCCAAAAAGAATAAAAAATAATGACAAAAAAATAAAACATTTATAGATCAATACCATAAGAGCTTATGCAATATGAGTGACCAGTGAGTACTTTTACAGAATAAAAAAAAATGATTTAGGATCAAATTTAAAAAGGGGATATTAAATTACAGTACAATCAGGCAATATTGCAAGCATTGTATTCGTTGGAACAAATAATACTATTATTATTATTATTATTATTATTTTATTATTATTATTATTTGTACTCACCTCAAGTGAAATTGAGGGTTGTTGGCTGATGATCTCTCCTTCTCCCAGATCCTTGGCTATAGAAATCTCTTCAGTGTTTGTAGATATTTTATCCTTCTCGATGGCAATTTTATCGGAAGCTTCCTTTTTATCCACGGCCACGGGTGACATTTTGGATTTATATGCCAGCTCTTGTATGATACTCCTAACAAAATAATAGCCGCCACCGACATCTTTCTTGACTTCTGTAACAGTTGGGAACTTCCCTGCATTCATGTTCCTGTACCTGTTTGCCAGTGCCCACATGATTTTCTCAAAATCTTGAAATGTAACTTACGACAAGAATGTGTATGCCTATCATCTACTCACAGCTAGTTCAGCAGAAAAAAATAATTATTTAAGGGTAAGGAGGTTCTTACTTCTTATATTTGAGTTCTACCATAAAACAGGGTTTATGGTATCAAGTGACGAAGGAAAGGTAATACATAGACTACATTACTCAGTAGTTTATGGCACTATGGAAAATTCTTGAAATTCAAGATATCAACTGAATTGATGAAAATATAAAGAATATTTACCTGTTAACAAAGTTTTCCACCATAGATTTGCGTTCATACTTTGAGATCTTTCTCCTTTGATTTTTGGTTTGCAGTCTCTCAGGTGAAGCAGAAGCAGCATACGACCTTGCAAACCACTGTATATTTGATCCATGCTCAATATTTGACGTTTCAATTGACACTGCAATAAAATAAGAACCAGACATCATATATACAGTTACCTGAGAAATGGAAACCTAAATAAGAATAGTAAATACGTCTTCACCATGAAACTATATGAAGTTCACAAAGTTCTTATGAAATTAAGTTGATAACAGATCAAAAGAAAATGGTACCAAATTAAATTACCTACAGTTAATAAAAGTGAGTAAAGTTATGACACCCACAATCGGACTGTCAGAAAAGGCAATGCAATAGAAAGCTAAGACACACTTGGGATACCGAATCAATTATATCATGATCAAGCCAAATTAGATTTTTCTTTTTCTTCACAAGTTCATAGTTTACTAAAACTTTAAGTAATCCTATTGTGAGAAAGGTCACATAGGAAAATAGCACAGTAATTATACCTGGATGCCGAACATCACCCGTAGTCCTTAATAATTGACTTTGTTGAAACTGACGACACAATGCAATTTTAGTAGGTTGAGCACAAGTTCGAATGGATCTCATATTGCCTAGAATGGTTAAGAAATCAAAAGTAACATAATTAATTTTGGAAGTAAACATGACAGTTAAAAACGGAACAATAACCTACCATGTGTTAATCAAAACCTGAAGGTGAATTCGAGTGCATGCAACATTTATACAGGTAATGAATGCCATGAAAAGACATTCCAACAATGCTCAACTGTTTAACTCAGAGAAGTTCATCAAAATTACAGTAAATCAGGCATAATTCACTGAACATACTATCATATAGCAGCGGTGGCAAGCTTCATGAGAAAACTAGTGTAAGAGATGATGTCACCTGTCAGGTAGCTAAACAAGGATGATATGTATATTAGTCAAACTCGAAGCTATCAACTTGGGTGAGAAAGAGCAACAGGATCAACAAACATGTTAATTTTATTTAATATATAAAATTCTTAAAATTTTCAGAACCTAAAGAGGTTGTCTTATCGCGAGGACAAATCATTGTAACCCCAAGAGTAAAACCACCTTCTAAATGTAATGAAAATCAACAGAAAATACAGAAAAGGCCAGATCAAAAATATCAACCAACTTCCATAACATTCTTTCCATACAAATGAGAGTTTGAAGATCGGTGACATAACAAATTGACACTAAAATCAAAACAAATATGCATTAAATCACCAAGCCAAAATAAAAAATGATTGGCACTGCCAAACATTTCAGCTCATCAGAAACACAGGCTTGAACAGAGAAATGAAGCAGTAGAGACTAGAGAGAATAGAAATCTGAACGGGAATAAATGAATAGCTATGCTTACCAATCGAAGGATATCACCGTCGGTCTCACCGTTGGTGATGTTTGTCGCCGCAGTAACGTCGCCGGCCGTCGGAGGCTCACGGATTTAGGGTTTAATTTGGAATCGGTTTTGGGTTTGCACAGAAAAGCTATAAAGGACAAAAATTGGAGGGTTTTAGACTTGAAGCAAAATGAGGGGGGGTTTTACTTTTACTATCCTTTTTTTGTAGAAAATTAAAACTTCTTTTTCTGGTATAGAAAATCAAAACTTAGCGACACGTAACGTACCAATTTATTATTTTCCAGTAAAAACTTCTGTCTAAACTCTAAATAAATATGGTGGACGTTTGGAATTATATATTCCGACATCTTAAGCTTAGTAAATTCTTGGTAATGTTTAAATATTATTCAAATTTAGTGGTATAAAATCACTAATATAATTAGTGAGTTGAATTTAAATTAATGACATTTAAGTTGATATGGTTAAAAAATTGGGGGTTCCGATTATATGGATATCCAATGAACGGAAATATCAGGTTGAGCTCTTACAAGTCGAACTAAAAACAAAAAACAGAATTACAAACCAAAAGCAGAAAAACAACAATTGAAGCGAGTGTTGCTCTTTTCGCAAGACGAATGCGCCCTACAATATGTTGACAGGTTCAAGCGTCTCGTCCTAAAGATGCAACGTCTGATGTCTTGAAGGTTGTAGAACAACAGACTTTCGAGCTCCGGCGAACTTGATCGAAGTCGAGAACTGAATACTATATGTTATGATGCTTGAAATTTTTCTGGAGAATTATAATGCAAATGTTGTATCCTTTTGCAACTCACTTGTCTTATTTATAGGACTTCCAACTTAGGTAAGCGATGTCACCAGTCACCTACCACTTAAGACAGTAACAACCCTCTTAGGGTTGTTCTAATGGGCAGAGAAACCAAGGATCTGAAAATCGAATCGGTAAAACTATTGGTTCAATGGATCATTGGTTGGACCACTGATCGAACCGGTTTAATTAACATATCATTTTTTATTTAGTTTATATGTGTAACATGTAATTGTATATATTTTTATCATTAGTTTTACAGTGTATAATGATATTTATCTAAATAATAAGTCAATAATCATGAAGAATTTTTGAGTTTCATCACAAAATCCTTGTGTCGAAAAGGGCTTTTCACCATATAATTCATCATAAGCTCGAGTTTGGCAAGGATATCACGTCCGAGCTGTCTCACATATCGCCGAGAAGGATGTGTCCAAGCATCATTTGAAGCAACCTATCGCCGAGAATGAGATGGTCTTCATACCCTTTGAAGCTAAATCGAATATATCGAGATACACGATCTTCATCAGCACGACGGTTGAGGTTGACGCCACAAAACATGGAGGCTCAAATCCTGTTGAGTGATTGGAGAAGGCCGAAATGAGGGCACAAATGGCCATGCTAACTGCTGAAGATGATGAAGAAGAAGAGACATCGGATATCACCAGTACTGCTTGTACTAGTGGAATCGCCGGTAATAAAGAAGACTACGAGACCTACGACTTCGATTACTAGATCGTGGTTCAATCCTCCCGCCATCTACTTACATCAAGGTAAGTAAAGTAAGAGAACTACGAAGACTTTGATTCCTAAAGTAAGGAATATGTATGCAACTTAATTAACATATTACAAGTTAAAATATCATTTTTTTTAACTCAAAAAATTCATCAACTTAATTGATATTTTAACTTATGATATTCTTCAACTAAGCTCTTTTTAAAAATAAAAATCGGGCCGAACTGCTGGGTCGGTGAACCGACATGTAATTAGGGTTTGGCCACGTCTTTATATACAAGGATATTTATTATTGTTACTTATATATGCATAAGTATTAATTAACCCACTAGTACAAGACCCGTGCATTACATGGGTGCTTGTTAAAAATATTATTCTCAAATTTTATAATTAATGAGAAAAAGTATTTTAAAATTTAAATACTTATTTTACAAAAAATGTATATTATTATATATTTTAGAACGACACTTGTTAATTGTGCGACTTATATGTGTTATATTATAATAATTTTTCTAACTTATATCATATAACTACTTGAAACATAAATATACTAATTGATAAATAATATTATTTTTCTAATTAATGTTAACAAATAATTTTGTTATTGTTATAAAGATAAATATAATTTTATTATTTTATACATACAATATGGATGTCAAATTGAAGCTCATCCAGATATGATTAATTTGATACATTGTATATGTAAAGTTGATAAAAAATACAAAAGTTATTAACTTTTAAACTATATTTATAATTCAATGGTTATGATAAGAAATGATATTATAATGTAACATGACCATAAATGATCAATATATCAATAGATAATCAAGATCTAATTATTTTTGGATTGGAAGTAAATTAAAATTTATCTAAGCTAAATAATGAAGCATGAAATTTTGGCACATAGAATCCCGAAACATGAGAGTCTGCAAATTAGACTCAGCTCATTCAGAATAAAGGGGAAGGGGGATGTTGATCACATCATCACTATTCAAACATTCTCCATCAATTTTCCCTCTCTTTTTTCCTTTAACATTTATCCCTTCATACCATTGTAAATGGAAGCTGATCATAATTTGTGCAGTGCTGACTGAACAAATAAGCATTTTTTACAAGCCTTCTGTAATAAACCGATATCAAATATACTGTAATTTCAAGCTTCTACTTATTGAGCTCACACAAGAGCTCTCACAGATGACTTCAAAGGGATTATATAGCATTTTTAGTTAACTACATCTTCTGTAGGGCGAAAAACAGGTTGAAAATAAGAACATCATGGACTGAAATTGTACACAAACGCACTATTCATCTAGTTATTCTATTCATCTACAATAGCGAAAAACAAGTCCTAGCCATTTGACATTTACAGTCTTGAGACACCAGTTATTTTTTTTTTTTTTACCACGGACCCGTCTGTGTCCTTCTCAAGCATCGCCTTTTGTTACTGTGTTGAAGCTTCAGCATCTCCAAAACCTGCCAATAAACATCAAAATGCGGACTATATGAGAAAAAAATGTCGTTTACATTTTATGTGTCAGATGTTGAACATGCATTTTTTCGGAACACCAACGAACCATGATATTAAGTATTCTAATTCTTAGTCTTTTATTTTTCCGTTTTCTTTCTAATCTTTTCCTTTTTTTCTTTTTTTCTTATCTTCATAATCAGGCTACTCTTAGAGATATTAAGTAAGACGCTGAACAGAGTCCATTTACAATTCGAAAGGACAACATAACATTGAGAAGAATCAAGCATGGAATGGAAAAAAAAAAATGAAAAGAAAGTTCTAGCAAACCAGAAGAAGCTGAAAAGAAAACGAACAAACTTAGCCATTATATCAAACCAAGGCAGTAAAATACTAAAATCAATTTCAAGGTTCTCAAAGGATAGAAGTCATAACAAAAAAATAAATAGATACCTGATTCTTCTGCATTTCCAACATTTCAGCCTACAGAGCACATGGAAAGTCTAATAAGTGCCATATTAACATAAAAAAACCTAGAACTAGTAAGCCATAAAGATATTATGAAAGCAGAGTTGATTAGACTCACCCGTTTCTTTTGTAATAGCTCATTTTCCTCCTTCAGTTTTGCAACTTCGGCTTCCAACTCTGTAGTGTATGCCTGAAAATTCCCCAAAAATCGCAATTGGTTGGTGAAAGGAAACATTTTGTTTCATCAACCCATAAACAAGTTCAATCAACTGCATCAATCAAAATTTTTCCTATTTGTTTCATCAATTCATTATATGAATTTCTCTCTCTCTCTCTCTCTCTCTCTCTCTCTTGTGTTTTTGCAGTGATGCCATTCGTTAATCAATGAATTTGCAATCTTTTATGTGAAGAGTCATTTTGCAGAAAGTAATTGTTTAACATATTCCCATTCGTATTCAGTCTACACTTTCTACCAAACCTGATATTCATTTTACACACTTTAATGAACCAAATCAAGCAAAACCTAAGCAGAAACTGCAGTTTCTTCTCTTCCAATCAAACATCAATCACACCACCAAGAACAGACACTTAAAATGCAATCCTTTCCTTTCAATAACATTAACTAACCAAACCAAAAACAATATTCTCAAACTCCAATTTTACCTGCTTACGAGCCCGTGATCTAGCAGCCGACTCCCGATTCTTGATCATCCTCCTTTGCCTTCTCTCCACAACTTTCTCCAAAGCAGCAGTTTTTCTCCCCCTCAAACCCACACCACAACCACCGTTAAAAACGTAAGGCACTGGCGAAACTGACGAAATCTCTCCAGTACTCGGCGAGACAGCTGGCGACACCACCCGAACCCCATTACCCACCAAACCCTGCAAACCCGCATTCTGAACCAAACCATCACTCGCACCATTACTTATAATCCCACCTCTAATCCCGGGATTATTACCGCTCAACTGATTATATCTCGGCACAGCCTGTTTAGGAATAATCTCCGGCAGCTGTGGCTGAGGGTGCACAGCGGGCTGTTTCACACCTGATCGTGCCCCACCCGCACCCAAAGGCAAATTATTTCCCATCAGGTCACTAATATTCTCACCTCCCGAAGGATAACCGAAGCCGGGCCTGGGGATATTTCCGGTTTTACCCTTCGGAGGCTCCTCCTTCACAACCCCAGCCCTCACCAAAAACTCCTCCAATGTGACTTCGCCAAGTGTCGGCTGCCTGTGGGCCGGCGCCACACCATAGCCGCCTGTGGGTGCGCACGTGGGATCTTTTCCGTACTCCTTCACCATGTCCTGCCAGACCTCATCGACTGTTTTCTGGCTGAGGGTGCGGGGAAGGGTTAACGAGCCTTGCCTCAGGGGATTATAGCCACTCCCTTCATGAAAACCACCACTACCCTTGTTATTATTATTGTTATTATGATTATTGGTGGTTGAGAGGAGGATTTGATTTTCCTCAGCACTCCATATGTTCTTGAGAAGCTCATCCATGTTCATAGACCCGAATTCTTTCCCGATGCTGCCGACTGTGTTCTGGAACTCGTCGAAAGTTAAAGAGTAGATCGAGTTTTGACGGGCGAGAGGGAAACTACCGGAATCCGGCGGCATGCCGGTTGATAAATTCTTGAAGTTTAAATTACTGCTACTACCCATCTTTGATGAAAAAACTCTGATTAGGTGAGTGGAAAGCAAATACAGGCCTGTTTGTGTTCTGTGATACAAAATTGTCACAATAAATTGAAATCAGTAATGAAGCAATTTTTTTTTTTTTTTTTTTTTTTTNTTAAGTTATTTGTAAATTGAATCTGAGGTACATGAAAGTGAGGATTCATATATGTACAGATAAAGATACAAATGTACATGTGGGAAAATAAAGTAATATCGGATTGAAATGAAAAATGGAACCAACCCATATCATAAAGATCCAAATTACATACCAAGAACCAATATTTTTCTTAGTTTGCTATTTTCTGTGATCCCTTTCAGACATGTATATACACAGATTTTATGCAGTCAGACGAAAAAATATACCTCTTCAGTAAACTGTACGATAAAATCAAGTGAACAGAGATTAACTGAGCTCTCGATCAGCTATCCAGAAAAATATTCAAGCCACACAGACGAATTAGAAACAAATCCACAAGAAATATCTTAGGAAGTGATCAAGGCAAGAGCGTGATTTTTCACAAGAAAGTAAAAATAAGAACTAGCAGCTCAAGAAAATATCCAGGAAATCAAAAGGCCCAAGCTCTCAACATTGACCGGCCGTCCAAAAATCGGGTTTTTTGGCAGGAAAAAAAGTTATACAATAGCAGATAAGTACAAAGACGATAAATTAAATGGGGTGGAAAAACACAAACCAAATGGTCCAAACATCCTAGAATCAGAATTACNATAAAAAAAAAAAAAGAAAAATAGAGAGTAAAATTAATATTAAATAGTGGGAAAATTTTTTGACCTTATAATTATAATTAAAAGGAAGGAATTAATTGGGATCTCGCCATGTGTGCGGTCGTGGGCGTATGCAATTATTAAAAAAATGTGGGCGTGGGGCCCACGTCCGTGAATCGTGGACCAATCCGCGATGAGATAGGAGGGTTGGTGCGACTATTGGGCCATGAGGTGCGGGCGAGGATAAGTAGGTGGATCTGGACCGCACGCGTATAGGGCAAGTGACGGTCGGATGTGGGCCGAGCCTTTGTCTTTGTCTTCTTATTAATGAGGTATTGCTAGGATCCAATAGCAAGGAGCCACCACATGTGGAAAGACCAGTTTATATGTTTTCCATTTAGAGCATCTCTACCGGACTGTTAATTGTATAAATATAGAAGAAGTTCTACAAAAAATATAGAAGAAGTTCTAAAAAAATATCTATAACACTGAATGTTTAGATTATATTCATAATGATGTAGCAAGAAAGAGAATGAATAAAATGCAGAACTTCTTCTACATGTAAAAGTCTTGTTAGACATGACAAATAAATAATAAGAAAACATAGTTTATCTTAAGAGTATGCTATCAAAATACGAGCCTAGACGAGCAATAAAGGCTCAAGCATTGGCCGACTTCATCCAAGAATGCACTAAGGATGAGTCATATTTTTTCTTCTACTTTTTTCTTTTCCTTTTAATTAAAAAACAAGTTGGCTGAAGAAAAAAAGGATAACTGCCACGAGAGGAAAAAAAATGCGGGAACTACAATAAATGAATAATATAATATGAAGATACTTAGTTGAATAAATAAATCACTTCAGACTTTTTATGAACTATAACATTTATTTCATCCACGTGCATGGAAGACTATCTATTTAATTGTCACATTCATTATAATCTATATCTAAATTCTATACATATATAAAGATATTAACATTTACCAAAAAATAGTTAGCAAATATTTTCAGACATGATGTAGTTCTTACTATTTTTGGAAATTTTTATATTTTTTAAATAAATAGCATTGAAAAGCCTAAAATATTGGCTTTTAGTTCCATAGTTTGTTGCTATTAAAGATCGGACAGATATTATTGTCAAAAAAATCCTATTATACTTACAAAATCATGCATACCCCGCATAAAAAATCTCATCATAATCTTACAGAATCCATATAAATTAAAAAAAAAAATTAAAAAATCTCATCCATTATCTATCTATATTCTAACAAATTAATTTTTTTAAAAAAACTATCGTAACAATTTTTTTTTCTTAAAAACAGTTAATTCACTCTGGCTAATTGCTAATATAAATCTTTTTTTTTTTTTCAAAACGATACATAATATTATAAATTAAAAAGTACAAATGTGCGAATACACAGGAGCCAACGACTGAATACACAGCAACCAACAACTGAAAAAGTGGGAGGACAGGTCCGAAGACCGCCTATAATCCCGACTAGCAACGCTAGAATAAAAACTCGCAACTAAACTAAAAAGACCCTAACAGAGTAATACCCGAATGTCAGATCCCAACAGGATAATAAGTTTGACACTCGGGCTCACAGGGGCCAACGACCCAACCAAAAACACAAGACACACACGACACAATAACGAAAACTAAAACTAGAACACCAAACTAAATAAATCTAATAGCCCTTCCCCAGCGAACGAGTAAACCCGGACCAACAGAGAACGATCGACACAAGACCAATCCAGGCTAAGCACCAGCTACCGAAACTGCAATCAAGCCTATACAGCAGTGGAACCCATATCCCGAACCAGTTCCCGGATCAACCCATTGACAACCGAGAGAGCCATAGTCCATCCCACTCCGATTCCATCTAAACTCTTCTAACACCACTAGACGAGGCCGATAGAACCACCCCCGCCGCCTAACACCACTAATCAACAGGGAATTGAGCAAGAGAGAACAGCCCTCTCCCGACCGCCGCGACAAAGAGCGACGCGGTAACCAGGGTCCCGCCCCACCCGACGATTCGCACTCCACCCATCACCACCACAGACATCCAACGACAATCGGCCCGGCCCCACTAGAAGAGGTGATGCGCCGCCGGCGAACACCAGATCTGGCCTGCACAGACGGAGGGAAGAAAAAGACGGGTCTTACCATCGCAAATCGCAACTCCTCCGGTGACTGAAAAGAAGATTCCAATCGCCGACCATGCTTCAATCTCGAGGTGTGCCACCACCGTCCGGAACGCCATTGACAACCGCGAACCTGTCGCCCCGTCAATAGACCATCTGTAGTTGGAATAGGGGCGCTCCTCGCCAGGGGGGCCGCGAACAGTTGAGGACGACCCTTAGCTGAGCAGTACCGACGCCGAGGAAGGCAGATGCGCCGGAAATTCGAGAGCTGAGAAGAGCTAGGTTTTCGTCGCGAGAGGACTGGGGGAGAAGAGCTCGCCTGACTCTTATATAAATCCTTGATCTACGGTAAGAATTTTTTTAAAAAGTTAATTTTCACCCATTTAAATACTAATATTTTATTCAAATATTCTTAACACTTATAATATTTTAGATATTTTAAAAATTATTGGGACAAAGACTAAGGAGCAATACATATACGGAGGTTAAACTTAAGTATTTTTTGACATGTTTTCCTCAAAAAGTAGTTTAGAAAGTGGATTCAAACATTTTTCAAGAATAATATAGAATAGTTTATATACTTTTTATATATGTGACTTTAGATGTCTTTAATATATTTATCACATATTTTTTTCCCCAAACATATTAAATACATACAATAAAAAGTTAATAGAAAAAATGCAGAATTAAATAGTGTCTTCAATTTTTTGTCTGATTATCAGTTATATATAAAATTTCATTTTATTTGTTACAGTTTACATTAATCTCTGGGTTGTATTTGTACAATTAATAAATTTTCATAAAGCGTGGAATTGTTATGTGTACAAAATTTCTTTATAACGGGAACAACTTAAAAAAAATAATAATTTTGAAATATTATGTACTCAAATTTTCGGAAGTATCGTCATAATTCGGTATCATGTCAATATTTATTTTATATATACTAGGTAAATTTTCTCTCAAAAAATTTATAATGTCTTTATTTAGGCTTATAATATTTTAGATACTTTTATATAATATTTTATCATGTCATATTATATCTTTATATACATGCACACACACACACACTCATGTGAAGTTTAAATGTTTACAAAAGAGTTTAGAAAACATCTTTCATACAAATGTGAAGTTTAAATGTTTTTAAACATGTTTTCTTTCCAAAATAATTTAGAAAAATTGTAGGTGACTTCACATCTTTTAACAATAATACAGAAACCTTTACATACTTCTACATGTTTTTAATATTTCAAACATACAAACTTTATGTTCTCTTGTACAAGTTAATTTTATATTGTTGATAATAAACTGATATACTGTAAATTATATCATATGTTAACCCCACATCTTTAATTTATAATTATAATTTAATATTGTTTAGTCTCATCTTTAATTTATACTCTCTCCTATTTTTATTATTTGTCACTCTGGCTTAATTGATTATTGATTTAATAAATGTCGTTTTGGCTATTTTGTTCATATTTTCCATTTTTAACCCTCCATCTAATACACAGTGTCTATTCATATCTCATCTCCATCGTTTCACATAACGTCCATTAAATAGGGTTAATATTGGTAATAAAAATATTTTTTAATTACCGTGCTGCTTCTCAGAACGACAAATATTAAAAATAGGAGGGAGTAATATTTTTTTTCATGCTCTTTTGAAAGAGGATAATAGTGATTCCCCGCTTCTTCCATTGGGTGACTCGAACTCGAGACATATTTATAATTAATTATTATTCAATATTGTTTACTCTCATTTTTAATTTATAATTTTTTTTCTTGCTCTTTTAAAAGAGGATAATAGTGATTCCCCACTTCTTTCATTGGGTGACTCGAACTCGAGACCTATTTATAATTACTAATTAATATTATTTACCCGTGCATTGCATGCATTGCACGGGCTACGCACTAGTTCATGCTCACGGTTGAAGATGTTCTTTGTTNTTCTAGTAAACTAAATTTACTTGAATAAAGGCATGTGAATTGGTTGGTCGCCATGTTTAAAAAAAAAATAGATTTAAAAAAAATTAATTAGAATATATATCACTCGCACAAGTTGGCAGTTGCTAGGACACGTGTCGTCATATGTTGTTGGCCTCTTAGAGGCCGCCATGCGTCCCAGAATATTATATTTTAAAAATTTTCCCTTCTATATAAATAGCATGGCTTTGAAGTTTGAAAGGGCATCCAACAAACAATTAATTCTCCCCCAAATTTTCATATATTACATTCAATATACTTAGATTTCTTGTTGGTTTCTTGATTTTCTTATCTTAAAGCATCTCCAATGCTATAAGTGTGAAAGACCATTATTTGTGACACATGTCAATTAATGATTGTAATGTTAATCCACATTGGAATAATGTTAAAAGACTAAAAATTTTAATGAAACTAGTATCTCCAATGCATCAATTTGATAAAAAGTTATTTGTATAGGTAGACCAATTAAATAATTCATTGATACAAAAAAAATAAAAAATTAAAACAAATATAAAGTACATTTGATGAGTCATCATGTTTAACATGGTGTTAGATATTAGAAAGTGTGCTCAACATTGTCAACATTAAATGACATCCACCTCATCATGAAAGAGTATGCATTGGAGAAAAAAATAGAGACACACTTTCAAAAGTTGATGATATGGATGACTTTTTATAATGTCAAAAGTTGCATTGGAGATGCTCTTAGCCTTTAAAAGGCTGTTGTATTAAAGAGGCACGGGAGCGGCCCAAATCTTTAAATTAAATTTCCGTTGCAGGCCCTTTATTTCATCGACAATTCTATCGTTATTGTTTCTTTTTCCCCTGTTATTTTCCTACTAAATAGCCTACTAAATAGCTTTAAAACATTGAATGACACCCTAATCAAGACAT